TGGAGACCAGAAGAAATGCGTTTTAAAACCCTTTTCTTTCTGCAAGTGGCTGACTGCAACGACCCTGGTTTAGAAATTCAGAGACACCAGGCTGCAGATGCCAAATTTTAACTCGGTGAGTGCTTGTCATCACCAGAGCTGGCTCTGCTGCTGGTGGCTGATGTGCCCTCCCAAATCATCCAAGTTAAAGCAATTTCTTCTGCGTGCTGAGCTTCAATACCCATTCCCAGCTCTACGCTGCAAAAAAGCCTTGGGTTTTTAGGTACACTGAAACGAAGGTGTTTCAGCCCTAACCACATTGGAATTGGTGAACAGGATGCCACGTGAGATTTTTGAAACAGTAAAGCATCATGACTTGCCCCACTCCCTTGTCCAAAGGGGAATACTGAACCAGCAGCTCCATACGCAAAAAATCAGCTGGTTCACTTCTTCCCCACTGCTGTAGTCCAAGCACAGTGCTGAAGGTATTAAACACATTCACTGCAATTATTTAAACAACACAAAGACAGAACAGGGGTCTCACAGAATCACACAGAATCGCTCGGTTGGAAAAGCCCTCTGAGATCATCACGTCCAACCGTTCCTGTCTACCCCCTAAACCATATCCTTAAGTACCTCGTCTACCTGCTCTTTAAACACATCCAGGGATGGTGACTCCACCACCTCCCTGGGCAGCCTGTGCCAGCTTCTGACGACCCTCTCAGTAAAGAACTTCCTCCTTATCTCTGACCTGAACCTCCCTTGGCACAGCTTGGTGCCGTTTCCCCTTGTTCTATCTCTTTCCCACATTCCTTGGAAAACACCATACACGCCGGTTAATCACCAGGAAACACAGAGGTTTTCCTGCATGCCCGTGGTCAGATCCTTGATGGAAGCACTCAAAACCACCGTACCCCCAGCACTGCGGAAATTGAGGACTTGCCTACTGGTCTTTAAGGAACTGAATGCACGAGTCTCATTTCACAGGAAGATCACCTTAACCAGACTTCTCCTTCAGCAAGTAACTAAATTCCAAGTGTAACAGATGAACTGTGAGAAATAACCTAGGAAATCAGTGAAAAACCCAATCAATGAATCATAACAACAGGTTGCAATCGCCTATTTTTAATTATTTGTGCAGGGCAGGAATATGCTGGCTTACGTTTGTACGTAGATAAACCATCTTAACTGTAATGTATTTCCAAAGCAGAGAGATATCATAGAAATTAGCATGGCTAATTGGACGTTTCCTTGCAATTAGCAGCCAAGCACCGGGATAAAATCAACTGTGAAGGTGCCTCAGCCACCTTAGGGCAATGCAAATGTCTGTGGGGTGGGAAGGGCTGTTTCTTTTCTGCTAGAAAAATCTTAGCATAGCACAGTTTCAGCATCTGTGGGAATAAAGGGCTCTGAATGTCGAGCAGGTGCTGATTCAAGACAGGGAAATCGTTAGATCCCTGTTCATCACCAGCATTCACACGGTGAGAGTAAAGCACTCGGTTCCTTTCTGCAACACCACGGTAAAACCACGAGAGCCACGCGCAATGAAAGGGTGCAGTAGAATAAATTACCCCCTCAACTTCAGTGGAAATGGATTGGCAGGTCCAAGAGTTACCAGGGAAGGAGGAATACGCACATACACATAAATGGCAAAATCTACGAGCACGTAAGATGCTTCTTTTTCTGTCTGTTTGTTTTTAGGTAAGCAGGCTAAGAAGGGAGTAAAGACAAATTAAAATAGAATAACATGGTGGTGATTCAGAGGGAATCAGAAGTTCTCCATACAACAAGGTGGGGTTAAACTGCTGGAGTGTCTCCATGCATCTATATGGAAAAAATGAGAATGGCAGTGTCAGGGCTTGGATTTATCAACATGAAATTAGAAAAAAGCAAGTGAAGGAAATGCAGTGACTAAATCCCAATGCCAAACCCTCAAGTTATTTACCTGGGAAAGTGCAGAGCATCCAATACAGTATTGAGGCTTAATAAAACGCACTAATTCAAACAAGAAAAGATCACCTTTTTATTCTGCCGTGGGACTGCAAGCACGGAGGTGGAAAGGCAGAAAAAGGAGCTGCCAAGCTGGAACAGATCAGAAAGCAGAAACGTTAAACAGTTTGGGCAAACCAAAACCATTCACAACCACGGTTTCGTTCCGGTTTGTTCTTGAGCTGCTGTGGAATCTCCCCTCCCTGTTCTTGCAGATGTTACCCCTTTCCCTGCTCTCCAAGTCCTCGCTGAGGAGGGCTGGGTCCTCACCTCCAGTGCTTGCTGTCAGCCGTGGAATTTGCTCCTGATTTATTCCACACCTGAGAAACGCCTGACAAAAGAAAGAAAGGATACGGTTACAGAAGGAGATTGCTGCTGCTGCTGCTGCTGCTGCTTGGTTTTTTTCCTTCTTCCTACTTGGCCAAAAGCTTTCTCAGGAAATTGTATTTTTGGCCATGGATGAAGTGAAGTATCACTAATGGAAACCTAATTGATTTTTCCTATTTGCTGACCTGTGGCAGAGAGACAAGAAAATCAAAGATAGTCCATAACTTTGATCGAGTAAGAGGAATTAGGTTTAGAGATACACGACAAAACGGCCCCTGCTTCAGCTTTTGGGAGACTTTTCCACACTCCACGCATTTTTGCCAGGTATGGGACAAAGTTCTGTCCAAGCTATGAGGTTTTTCAGGTGTTGCTCGCATTAAAACCCTCCTTACGGGAGGGTACAAGGGTGTAGGAGGCCATTTGCTTGCATTAAAAGAGAAAAAGGTGATCAATGATACCCAGTAAAGGAGTGAAGTGACAGGCAAAGAACAGCACAATCCTTCTGTGTGCAGTAAATCAGGTTAAGGAGACAAGAGACAAAGAATTGAACATAGAGAACAGGAGCTGCAGCAGATAAACAAACAAACGCCACAAACCTTTAAAACTACGGAGAAATGAACATTTAATTAAAACCCCAATCGCTAATCAAGCAGGAAATGTTCCCTCAGCTTCACAGCAGCAAAGACAGCAAAGTCAAACCAGCCCATTCCCAGTCAGAAAGACGTGAAGGTCAGGCTGAAGTAAAACTCAGACCACCTCACCTTTGGCATCTGTTTTACAGAGTAAAATCAGATCGCAGCTGGAATCTGGTGCCTTTGGCTGGAGAACAAGGCAGATCTCCAGCTCCTCCAGCACTGGGCACCAAACATTCCTGCGCTGTCACCAAAATTGCTGGAGACAAGCAGAAATTTTGCAGGTTTCAGACAAGGAGAGCAGAGGCCACTCGTAACCCAGTATTGGTACAGGGCAGGTGGCTGCACAGGCGAGGATGCAGCCAGGAGCTGAAGTCCATGACCACCCCAGTCATTGCTCTCCTACCCAGCTGGGAGCCCGTTATCAAAGGCAGAAATCGCTGAACTCAAACTGTGCTCAGCTATTGACTTCAATGGAGGGAGATGGTGATCACAGGGAGTTTATAGATCTAGTAAATCTGTTATGTTACTTAAATCATGCCCTAGGCAGGATTTTTCATCCCACTGCTTCTGAGTTTGCTTGGATGCTGCTCCATGCCTCCCTATCAGACAATTTCACAAATCCTCAACAAGACACCTTAATTTTCCTTCCCTCGTTTTGAGACATTAATCCCAGGAAACCACCAGCTCCCCACAGGATCCATAATCCATCCCGACCGCTTTGTACCAACTCCACAGCAATTAGGCACCTATTTTGCTGCTGGCTGCTGCTTTTCATCCAATTGCCCGTGTCGTGTAATCGTCTCATCGTTCGGCTTGGATGCGTTTCTTTCTCCACTTGTTACCGCTGCTCTGCCACTTCAAACCACAGATTATTCAAGGCAGGAACTGCCTATTTGTCATACTTTTACGGGGCAGAAGGCTCTTCCAAGAATACAAATAAACACTAACATTGAAGGAAAAGCTCTAAGCAACAGAGCAATTCATATAAAAACTTTATTAGAAATGAGGACACAGCCTCCCAGGAACAACACCGTACGTTATCTCCCAAACTTTTACAATTTAAAGGGCATAATTAAATACAAGTAGCTACAAAAATGCTGTGCACGTCTATAAAAAAAGGAGAGCAAATCCTCAAACTGCCACTGTTTCCAACACGTCTGGAGAAAGTACTTTTCCACAGTGGTCTGTGTCTGTGTGGGCACGCAGACACCCACCGAGGCTGTGAGCTGGAATGCAATGAGGAGGTTTTTCTTGGTGCTTTCTGTCCTAAGAACCAGGATGGGTTTCGATCTTGTCAGAAGTCTGTATTGCTTTAATTCACAGAGAGAGTGAAAAGATCAAATTCTTACGACTTGATATTGCATCTGACACGTTATGCTGGGCAAATCGCTGGTATTTTCCTATCTTAAAATCACATAACAGTGAGCATGATCACTAGTTTTAACAGTAAATAATAATAATAATAATAATAAAAAAGCTATCTAGTACTGTCACAGAAAAAGAGAGCAGCCTCATTTAACCACCCCCTACAGATCAGAAAATAAACAATAAACAGGGCCTAATTTATAAAAGCCTTTTCTCAACTCATACCCAAAAAAGCGACTTCCTGTCTCATCTAGGACCAGTTTCAACAGCGCTAATTTTTAGCACATCAACCACTATTTTAAGTTCTGCTTGCGATTCAGTCCCGTACTATGTAGTGCAAAACACACCAAAAAAAGAGGAAAAATGCTTGAAGTATATCCATTTCTCAGCTTCCTGACAGAAGTTTTCCGAGTCGCGCCATAAAAAAAAAAAGAATTTAAAACAAAACAGACACGCAAAAGCTGTTGTGCTCAGGTCAGCGGCGTATGTACACATTAAAAACGAAACTACAAAAAGTATTCTAGTAGCAAAGGCAATATACAATATTGTATATAAATAGTATTTGGAAAGTATAAAATTAGGAAGTAATGCATAGGAGAGCGTGTTTCACAAGCCCTGCAGCAATGTGTTATTCGCAGCAATGGCTGCATTAGCAAATCCTTGCAGCGTTGGCAGAATTTCTACCAGACCCCCGAGACGAACAACTCATTGCCTGCAGAATTCGCTGGTTACGTTGGGAAGAGGGTACGCAAAGAGGGAAAAATCCAGGATGTATTTTAGCAGCAGCTCTTTTATGAGCCGGCGTGGGGTGTTGCACAGGTAGTAATGGAGCGTTTCTGCTGTCACAGGCTTGTACCATGACTGCCGTTCGGGGAAGTGGACGAAGGATGGTGACTGGACTCGCTCCAGGACGTAGTTGGCATCCGTGTTCAGCCGCTCGTAGGAGCCGATGAAGTCGTACCTCACGGCGCAGGGCTGGCACAGGTTGTAAATGGGCATCCAGTGCTCGTTCATCCTCTCCACATCCTCGTCCAGCAGGTACCGGAGAAACTCGGAGAAGGTCACATCGTCACCTGCCGAATTCCCCCCATTCTTCCGATACCGCCTGACGATCTCCACGCCGTACTTCTGCTGGTACTCCTTGATCTCTCCAAATTTATTCCTGTAGGCCGACAGCAGCCTCTCCATGGGGTTCCGTACGAAGATGAACTTGTAGTAGTTCTTCAGGCGGTAGCTGATCTCGTCCGGCTTCATGTCCCCCAGGAACACCAGGTCGCTCTTGTGGTCCATCTTCAACTTGACATCGACACTCTCCAGCGCCCCATCCAGCACCTTCAGGATGCGTTTCCAGTTGGAACAAGCCACCTTGGGCACATAACAGTACAAGAACCGGTACTTATCGCTGACCAGGAGATGC